GAAACATATGCAGCGCCATATCATCAACTGCGAGAAGATATCGCGTGGGTGGGGGCGCATGCTACTTGAAGACAACGTTTTGGTGGAGGATTTGGAGCGTCAGTCAGAATGTGCTCAAGCTTTGCGATCTATATAAGAGAATGGCGACAACATTCTCTTCCCCAACGTAGACGACGATTAAAGAGCTGAGACTGGGTGCAGCAGCGCTGGAGATGGAGCAGAAACGCAAGCAGGGGTAATAACGAGTATTACCCAAAAAAAACATGACGGCAAAAATAAGCAAAAAAATTGGTTTAATATATGTTCTTTTTTTAGGTATAAAAAAAAACCTATCTATACTCCAGACGGCAGCTGCCGGACAAGAGCATAATAGTGTCTTCACACCCGGTCAAGCGATCTATCGCCTCACGGTCGTTCTGGCGGTGATGCAGCTGGGCCATGTCCCAAATTGCCATTTCTGTCTGGTCGCATTTGAACGGTACCAAATCGTCGGCACTGGTGCAGTAGTCGTCCGTCTCTCGAAGAAGAGATGTAAACAACGCTGTCTCGACAGGTAGAATGGCATAAGAAGGGTTGTAGTCCTGCCTTGAAAAGTATGTGATCTCCGTGACATTGCCAGAACAGTGGATTAGACTGCGGAGGTGATCTATATACGAGGCTTGGACTTTCGCGGCTTGAATGAGTCGACGTTGCTCTGCCTCGAGCCTTTGTCTTTCTGCTCGCTGTCGATTCGCGACGTTGCCCCAAAATGAACCCAAATCATTCGTCTGTAATTGTCCACGCGATTCTCTCAAGCTTTTTAGCTGGTTCAGATGATCCGTAAGATCGTTCACCTTCCGTTTTAATGCCGAGCGTTCGTCTTTGGCTTTTTGGCGCTGCTTCCTGCGTCGACTTGCCTGCTCCTCTCGACGCGCCTTGGCCTCTTCGGCCGTCTCAATCATGCCGTCTGTACACAACACTTGGGTGTATGAAGAGCTGGGTAGAAGAGCATCGTAGCTTGAATGAAAGTTATCGGTTAGCTCAGACGGCATGCTGAGTATAGATTCCAGGCAACTAGAGTTCACAAAGTCGTCGACATCTTCAAAGAGAGAATCCATGTTGGAGTCTGGCGTGTGAAGTATAACTGATGTCTGTGTCGCTTTGCCGACGCCACCCTGTGTTCAAGAGAGGCAAGTCATCATGGCCTTTATTCCACAAAGCCCTAGCGTTACACATAGTGGTGCTACCGTTTATTAAAATTAAACAGACTTTAAGATCATACTTGAGATGTGATGACTTACAAATTTATTGATAGAGAGGAGTCAGGGAAGCAGAAACTGTACGTTCCTGCACAAATACAGGAGTCACACCAGCCAATGGGCTCTTAACAATACACTAACGCAACCTTTGGAGACGGTGAAGTTATGTCCAAGATGGCGTAACTTGTCTGCTTACCAGGTCAAACATAAATGAAATGGATGGGAGATGTTAGATTTCTCCATCGTAATGTCTCGAAATCACACTGTTATGATATAAGAGTTGGGCAGTATTAGAGGTGCAAATGTTTGTACAGAGACGATTCGCTGAGAATGACTGCTCAGTAACACGGAGAGAGAGAGGGGGCATTGTACGTCAAAGAAACAGGCAGGGGTATTTTTCATTACCCGGGCGTCCATCGATAAGTTGCAGAGACATATGCTGCTGACAATACGTAGATTGCGTTAGGAGCTCAAAGCCTTTTGTACGTTAGCGCTTTCAAGACGAGAGCAAGCAAGAGAGCGTTGTCTTGATCGTACTTTTTAATCAAGTGCTTTCCTCATGTATACATTATTTTTAGTAGCTGATTAAGAAAAAAACAGAAAAATAATGGTGAGTGACGCTCCAAATCCTCCACCAAAACGTTGTCTTCAAGTAGCATGCGCCCTCACCCACGCGATATCTTCTCGCAGTTGATGATATGGCGCTGCATATGTTTCACCATCGCAGACATGGTCGTAGTGCAGTGATTACACTTCACTCGCCGAGTCTTATACTTCCCCTTGGGATGATCCTTGAAATGAGACCACACACCTTCTTTGCGTACCCGACCCATTGATTAAAGAATTGGAAATGCCCAACGCGAAAGGCAAGAGCCAAAGGCACAACCAAGCTTGGTTAGCCAGTCATTTACAGTAGTCCACTTGCGACGAGTTCCGAAGGACCATGGTGAAATGGCAACGTTGACAAAAAAACCACAAAAAAACCGCAAAAAAACATTTTGAACCGAAATTCGATTTTTTTGCCGAAAAGATCAAAAAGACCGTTCGATAGTCTGGAGAGGCGATGTCACTGCTTCAGCGGTATGTCGGACGGCGCTTTGTAGAGACGAACCGAGTGGTGTACACCTGGAAGATTAACTCTGAAGGTGAAGGTGGATTTAGCGGGATGCGCTCTATCGAAGCAGGCGTGTGCATTCTACGCTGCGTCAGCGGATGGACAATCATGCGTGGCGTGGAAGTGTGCATGCGGCAGAACCCACTGTTGCGTGGACACTCCACAGTCCGGACAAGGTTTAGTCGCCGATAAATTTCATCGATTATTGCAGAACAAGGCCGACGAGGATTCGCGCGAATTCGCGATCGCGCTCAGGTCAATACTTTTAAATGAGGTACTGGCCTCACAGGGAAGCACTAGCTCATCTGAGTCCGAATGATTCGGCCTGGAGGACCCGTCATTGCCCTTGAAGAGCAGAAACGGTTAATTTTGGACTTGGTGAGCTGCGTATTATTGTGCATGATATCCGCCAAAGGAGAGTATATAACGCCAGCTCAAGGTAAAATTGTGTACTATCCGTGAGCTTCTTGGGTATGGGCTTCCATGGTTAATGACGTGTGTTCAGAATTTTGAAGTCAAGAAACAGAAAGTTTACAGCTGGAGGATTGGTGAATTCTTCATAAATAAAAACACGATGTTTCGTTGTAATACTCGATAGATTCTGGAAAACCTACACTTTGTTATGGAACAGTTTACGCTTATGCCATATTATGTAAAACTTACCTTTAGGTATCGGGAATTTGAAGATGCTTCGGTGATCATCGACAAATCTAGAAATATCATGCTAGTATTGAGCTAAGCTCGAGTTGTACACGCCATCGAAGGCATCGTCTGTACCAAAGTAGCTGTACAAATAGGCATCTGGCGGAGACAGATCAAATGCTGGCATCTAAGCCACACAGGATTTATCCAAACCCTCGAGATCTCCACCAGCGCGTACATACGATGCTAGTACTTTCATTTCACAAGTTTCACTCTCCAGATCATCAGCAGCCATTTTAGTCGTCTTGAGAGCACCGTGTGTTGCGTATTCGAAGGCTATTAGTTCTTTCCTATCGCGGTCAAGATTTTTCCAAAAGGCGTCGGCGTATTTGTTGGGTGTCTGAAGGTCCAGCTTTCCACTTAGCAGCAAAATGCTTGCTTGGTTTGCTGTTTGGTCCCAGTACTGATCTATGATGCCGCTCGAGTCAAAACTACCAACATTAGTCTCGTCACACGAGTGAGACTTCTCTTTCGTGAAGGCAGAGTATGTTGACTGAACCAAGTAGGAATCCCTCCAGTAGCTATTTTAGCATTTGTAAATCGAGCCTTCATCTCAGACAAAGATGGTAGTGCATCATCTCAGAGAAGACAATGATACTCTGGGGTAGCGTCGATTCAAATACAGCGTCTTGCGGTTTAGCGGATTAGTATTCGCAGTGAGGATTGTAAAGTATTGGGACAGAACGTCTACGTCTACATCGATAGAGGCGGTAAACAAGAGGCGGAATTAAGGTTCGGATGTACGGATCACTTGCCAGTACAGATCGCAGACTGAATGACACCGCGATTCTGCCGATTTTTCCCATTAACATTGGACTGGTGGAGTTTGGGTCGATGTCAAACTTCTCGATTAAACCTTGAAGCGTATTGTTGACTTGAAAGTAAGATTTGCAGCTGCTGTCACTCTCACAAAGCGCTAAGAAAGCATCGCGGACTTCGCCATAGGTAATGCCAGATCTCGACACGTAGGCGAACTCCTTATCAGATGTCCCAGCGGTTGCACCGACACTATCGACTCGATAGTATCGAGTACATATCCAATCCCGTTTGGAGGATCTAGCTGCATGCGCCTTTACACCAAAATTGTATCGTATTAATAGCTGGCACCATACACAATTGTACCGACTCCATGTAAGTCATTGGCACATCCAGGCGCCTCCGACGTGTCAAACGAATGGCTCCAAGGAGATCCTGTAGTAGTACTCTGCGATGCGACTCACTTCAATTTTGTGCTGCGTCCTGTACCTTGATGGGCCGTCGTGTATACGCTCACGGCTTCTTTCAACTCGTGCAGTGTCACCATCGTCGATGGCCCATTGATTCCTCCACTGCGATGAAATAGAAAGACATCCGTATTGATTTCAGAACTCCCAAAACTCCCGTAAAAAAACTCACAGTCAGTGGGCGATACGCCAGGGCCTCCCTGAAGTAGTGTAGGGTTTGCTATCGTGGCAGGAAAACGCTTGAAAAGACGACGACTTTCGAGTTGACACCATCGGGTGTTTCACAGATTTCAGGATTACACAACGGTGCAATGTACACGGCACACTGTTCGATTTGACCAGCAGAGCTTCCTTCGTCTGGGATTGTGTATTCTGCGCAGGTCTAGCATCCATTCACGACGTACTGGAGACTTGAGATACTACCGTCGCCCACAAGACAGCGTAATAGCCCCGCAGGCTACTTCCGACGACTTGAAGAAAAGAAGGCAGTGGTTGTAGGGAGATTAAAAGTACGTGGTCTGTGATCTTTACTGACAATGCGCATATTGCGTTGGTAGCTCAAAGACTTTTGGACAACTAACTTTGAGGACGAGAGCAAGCAATAGAACGTTGTCTTCATCGCTCTTTTTAATCGAGTGCTGAAGTTTACATTATTTAAAGTAGCTGATTGAAAAAAAAAAATTTTGTGGAGTGGTTCTCGGAGCTAACCCCTTTCCATGTCAATTACGCGATCGCGACCTGGATACCGCAGGGGCACGCGCCATAGCTCACTTGAGTCACGTTCAGGCCAGCGTTGTTGCAATTGGCCTGGCCCAACTCGCACTCATTCTCGTACGTGACGCCATTCGATCCACACACTGGAGCATGCTCCGGAAGGCACGGAGTGTCGGCGCATGGAGCCTCCGTGTATCCGGATACAAAAATCATGTTCCTTTGAGTAGGCGTGGCAGTCGTCGTCGACATTATAGCAATCGCGGCGATGGAGAGGAATGCAGCTAGCTTCATCGGCATAGGAGTGTATCGTATCGCTTGCGTTCGAATCAAAATCAAAAATGCTCCATATAAACCAGAGCGAAAACACACAGGCAGCTTGCAGATCTCCTCGCATCGTGGACATCCTTCTTCGACGTTTTTATTTACACAATATAAAAAATGTCTATGACTTTTCTGGGTAGCGTTTACATTATGCATGTGTGTGTATGTTTGTGGAAGAATTTCCAAAATCCAGTACTAGTGAACTGGATTATGAAAATCGGCGAGTTAAGTCAGAATTTGGATTAGTAAAACAGTACAGCCCCGGTAAGTTCGCGCCTCGTAAAAATCCAGTACACTGTTTAAGTACGCACATCTGACAGCAAATATTGCAGCATTTTATGAACGAGGGATTTTACTCGCAATAAAAGTAATGAGATGAAGCATGTGTCCAGTATCCAACTGTAAGTGTCCTGATTAGAAACTTCACCAATTTTAAAATAGGCAAAGAAAGATACTTGGACACAGTCTTATATGCGATTGTGTCCTGTACAGGGGTTCTCCAATACAGTATTATACGGAATTGACGGTGGGTCAGCGCAATAATAAAAAGGGAAATTCCACAATTACCAATAAAAAAAACTGCAGTAAGTATTGCAA